TCCAAGATGCAGTTTTACACGGACTCATCATCAAGCAACCATACACAGGTTCCTTCCTTTCAGATGAAGTTTTACACGGACTCGTCCTCAGGAAACCCTACACCGGTTCCTCCTCAGTTCCAAGACGAAGTTTTACATGAACTTATCACAAAGTAACCTTACTCAGGTTCCTCTAGAAGTTTCACACGAACTTATCTCAAAATAACCTCACCCCGGTTCATCCTGAAGTTTCACACGAACTTATCTCACAATAACCTTACCCCGGTTCATCCTGAAGTTTCACACGAACTTATCTCACAATAACCTTACCCCGGTTCATCCTAAAGTTTCACACGAACTTATCTCACAGTAACCTTACCCTGGTTCATCCTGAAGTTTCACACGAACTTATCTCACAATAACCTTACCCCGGTTCATCCTGAAGTTTCACACGAACTTATCCCAAAGTAACCTTACCCAGGTTCCTCCAGAAGTTTCACACAAACTTATCCCGAAACAACCCTACACCGGTTCCTTCCTTCCAAGATGCAGTTTCACACGGACTCATCATCAGGCAACCCTACACAGGTTTCCTTCCTTCCAAGATGCAGTTTCACACAGACTCATCATCAGTCAACCCTACACAGGTTTCCTTCCTTCCAAGATGCAGTTTCAGACGGACTCATCATCAGTCAACCCTACACAGGTTTCCTTCCTTCCAAGATGCAGTTTCACACGGACTCATCATCAGTCAACCCTATACAGGTTTCCTTCCTTCCAAGATGCAGTTTCACACGGACTCATCATCAGTCAACCCTACACAGGTTTCCTTCCTTCCAAAATGCAGTTTTACACGGACTCATCGTCAGGCAACCCTACACAGGTTCCTTCTTTCAACTTACAAGATCACAATTCAACAAACAATCTCCAGATGGCATCTGTAAGCCCATCCTCCTACCAACAAGCTCCAAATGGCATCTGTAAGCCCATTCCCGACATCACATTGTTGATACTACACCATGCAAGTGCAAATTTCTGGGCACTTTAGTGTTCAATCATCTTCCACCTTCGGATCACGAAAGGCACGCAAGCCAATCTACATCCTCAGGTCTAAGAATATTGAACAGGGGAAACTGTTGTACCCCAAAATTTGCCCTCCCATATTCCTCAAGATTTGTCAGGAATCATTCCAAAGGGTTCAAGATTGCTCAAGAGTTAGACAGTCAAGCCACCTCCTAAGCAGTAGACAGCTGAAATTAGGGTTTTGGTTCTTTTAAGGAATTTGGGGTTTTCAATGGTTCAATCAAGTCTCATAGGCCTATAGACATTCTCAAGCACCTACATGCCAAGTTTCAAGACTCACAGTGCCAATTTGCACAGTCAAAAGCTCCATTTGATCTACAGTCAACTGCAAGGGCAAAATGGTCATTTTACAGTCAAAAGTCAAGCTTTTTTGTCAACATTCTCATTTTGAAGGATAATTCATCATTTGATCAAGGGTTGATCATGATTCATCAAGGACTTCTCAAAATTCATCAAGATTCAAAAGTTGCTAAATTAGGGTTTTGTAGGAAAAGTCAACTCAACTTTGACCAAGCATAACTTTCTCATACTTTATGAGAAATGACCCATCGAAATCTAATTTTGAATAGGATGAAATTTCCTACAATCCATCTTCATACCCAAAGATCAGAAAATGCACTCACAAGAAGTTACAAATTTGGACATTATAGGTCATTTTTGAAAGTCAACAAAAAAACCTTTTGTGCCAAAGCTTATAACTTGAGAATGGAAGATCAAAACGAGATGAGACCAAAAGGGTTGATTAGAGGACATCTCAAGGTTTCTAAAAATTCCAAGAACACCTCCAAAAGATCAAAATTGAACAATTTGTGCATTGGATAAGTTGGGAAGTTTTCATGAATTTCCAAAAGTCAACTATCCTTAAAACTTCAATTTTTGACAAAAGGCCCCACTTTTTTCCACTTGATTTAATCTTGTCATTCCACACACGTGTCCCATACTTAATTTCAGGATTAAACATTTATTTTTCCATTTTATTCAATTTTTATTGATTTAATTCATTTTAAATCTATAATAATTCAAATAAAATCTAAAAATCAATGGAATAGTATCTTTGTAATTTGTACAGCTTTCATATATCATGTGACAACTAACCAATTCGTGCTAGGGCTTATTTGTGCACAAAATCTCAGATTTGGCCATATTTGAAAAGTTTGTCAATGGTGAAAAAGTGCAAACCTAATTCTTGAATATACATGGATTAAGGCCCAGCTCTTGACCTAATTCACTTCCCATATATGCAAGCAAGCCTCCTAAACCTAATTCACGACCTGAAGCTGCCAAAAATCAAGAAACCAAAACTGAAAAATTCTTGGAAAAGTGGGAGATCAAGAACGATATTGGAGGCGTTTTCAGACAAAAAGAAGAACGTAGTTCCCTTCCTTGCCATCCACTAAAGCTAAAGCGATCAAAACCACGTCCTGAAACCACCTACAAAGCGCTGTAAGTCCTCGCGAACTGGCCCCTGAACACGAAACCGAAACTTTCAATTCTTGCACTTTTTCTTCAAAACGTTGGCATATTCATGTTCATTGTTTGATTTCTAACACGACTGCAATAGCCAATTTTGTTTTTATGCCCTATACTGTGATACCCGATTCTAGGGTTCATATGCTTGCTTTTTAGGTGTTTTCGATACAGGGAAAATTGGCCACAATAATTGGTATAAGAGTGATCAGGAGGCAGAGACGAGATCAGCCATGGCCTTAGACGACATTTCCGTAGCCTAGGGTGGATTATAGGATGAGGCCACGGATTTTGTTACGGACTAGAATCTGTAGGAAATAAACCAGGTGGTTCAAGGAAGAAGACGACCACGCGTCCTCTTCCCACTGGTCAATTCAAACAGCGCGCCATTTTTTTTCCAGCATGTTAATTGTTTATTGCATATAATAATAAGGTTTTGTTTTGTTAACAAAGAAGCGCCACAGCTCAGTTGGTGGACGCACTATTGCATAGTCCATTGGGACCTGGGTTCGAATCCCAGGTCCCCCAAAACAATTATTTGATTTTTTTCTGCAGGTGATCCCATGTACTCTCCAACGCGTGATCCACCATACACCTCAGAGATCCACACGCCAAGTGGCTCCTGGCCAAATCTGAAGGCCAGGATTTAAGGACTATCATACTCCCTGGTCAACATACGTGTGGACGATCCAGAAAAGTCAAAAAGGCTTGCAGCAATTGGGCCTTGAGAATTCCAAATACACCTCCAAAGTTGGCCCAACACCCCCTGGGTTTGCCTTTTATTTTCTTTCATTTATATTTTTTTTATTTACTTGATTTATTTTCTTGATTTAATTACTAACAAAATAGTTAACATTTTCATAATAAAAATCAAAAAATACAAAAACATTATTTTTATTAAATTCATCACTTTTATTATTTTTGTAAATAAATAATTTAATTGATTTAGTTTTTTTAATTAGGCATAATAATAATACTTTTTGCAATAATTTAAAATCAATGTAGAATTAGGGTTTTTAATAACTTTTGACCATCTTTTTTTTTCCCTTAAAAAACATAAAAAACTCAAAAAATATCTTTATTTTATTTAATTAATTAATTAGTCTAGGTTTAATTTAATTAAATACAAAATAATAAAAAATCCCTTTCTTTCTCAAAAAAGGGTCAAAACCCTAAAAACTCTCCGATCCAATTTTTCTCGCACGTGTGATTATTGTTGATTCATATTTTGATCCATATAATTGTATTTGCTCCGAGGATGTAATAGCTTTAATTAGGACCTCTTATAGATTAGTTTTATTTTCCGCAATTTACTTTTTCAAGGGTTTGTTTTTGGCGATGTAAATACCTGACGCCTTGTAATAGCTTAGTTTTATTTTCCGCAACTATTAACTGCTAGATGTATGCTAACTAGGCTATGCATGACAAGATCTCTCTTAAATTAAAATCAATCGTAGCTCACCATAACATGTACAAAGATAATATAAACTGAAACTTGACACACTTGCACATGCCACTCCTAGGGTACGCCTCACTTGGTTGCCTCGACGTGGTCATTGAGTATAGGGTGTTATAGAGGTCGCCCTCCTGTCTAAAGATCAAAGTTTCCTCGGAACGGTTACCTCGATAAAAAACGATATAAGACGTTAGGGTTACCGCTAAGGCGTCCTACCATTGCTTTAGTGACCACATGTCCCTAAAATCGAATTGACCCGAAAACTCCAACGACGGTGCTACCTACTTCTCAATAGTGGGATAGCACTGTCTAAAGGACATTTACACAGCTTAATTTCTTTTGAGTAGGTAGAGGTTCTCAGCTACTTGCTCTTTCAAAATAAAACAACCTTTTCGCACTTACACTTTTTCAAACAAAGTTTTCAAACAACACTTCATACACTCTTGAGGACAGATACAAGAGTTAAATCGAAGTTTTCAACAAAACTTTTTCAAAATCCACGAACGCAAGAAAAGCAAAACTTTTGAAAACATAGTGAGCAAGTACCTAAGAGCCTGTGGATAACCACGGATAGAAAGGGTGCTAACACCTTCCCTTTCTATAATCTATCTCCCGAACCCGAGAAACATCTCGAAAAGGAATTTTGATGTGCTTTTGTCCTTTCCTTGTTGGAGAAAATAAAAGACGGTGGCGACTCTTGCTTACCGCGACATTTTGCGAAACGCAAACGCGAACCAGCATTCCAAAACAGTCAGTTCTATTTCCATCGACCATAATAACTTTCTCCAACCTACTTCATAACTTTATTCACGATTTAACACAATGTGAAACATAAAGGAACTTTGTCACAACATTTCCAAACCTGCATGATTCACATGATTTGCATTAGCCCTTAACCTGGAGTAAGACGACAAGTCCAGTTCACGATCGAAAAAAGAAAACAATTATTCAAATGCTATCCTTGATAAAACAAAACCAACACAAAAAATAAACAATATAGACAGGTTTAACATGCTCATTTCAAGTCCAGTCCAGAAATCATCAATACCACAAGTTTACTGTCCAGAATTTCAAGTATATAGGCAGCAACAGCAGATGTTATACCATGTCTACCTGACATACCTTCAATTTGTTTTTCTGGCTGGGCAACGAAAGCCTACTGTGGGAATTTATCTGAACCAACGTTAGACCTAGCCCTGCATTAAAAATCAGAAAAACGAATTCAAGAAGCCGCAAAAATAGAAGAATCATGAAATAATTAAAATAGAAGCAAGTCAGAATTATCCAACTAACTGTTATAACAGAAAATTTTCCAGCTCATCAACATTCATAACTAACTCTCTAACAACTCTAACTGATTCCTAACTAACTTCTAACATCGATAAAAGAAACATATAAAAACAGAAGATTACCTGGATTCATGGCTTCTTTATAGTTCACAGAAGAATCACAGAAAAATCACAGAAAACTCTCTCTGAAATCTCTCTCTAGATCTCTACTTCCATTCTTCAATATTCTGCAGAAGAATCACCAAAAGCTCCTTGAACCTCTCTTCATTCTCACAGCTTCACCTATTAACTTCTTCAATCTTCATAACCGCCGACAGCCCTTCCGCAACGGATTCACCATCATCATCACCACATCCTCTTCAATCTTCTATGCAGCTTCGTCAACCTTCATCATCAATGGCGTCATCGTGACTTCGAGCTTGAATCGTTCCTTCTATTTCAACAGCAATCACAACAACAAACTTCGATAATTAAATTACACCAAATCAACAGAAAATACGTGTGAATCGGAAAGAGAGAAGAGGAAGAATTAAGGATGAACGCATACCTGAGTCGTTGAAGAGCCACTGGAGTTCTCCGGTAGACGAGCGAGAACTTTAAAATGATGAGTGATAATAGAAACGGTGGATGAAACCCTGATGATGTGAAGCATGAATCGAAACCAAAATGAAATTGGAGGCAAGTGAAGGTGCTGAGACGAAATTGCAAGCGAATTAAGAGTTGAGGAAGGTAGAATCGAATGAAGAAGGAGGCTGAAAGAAGGAGGTTTGGCGGAGGTATTCGCAGTGACATGAATGTGCTATCCACGGCGGCGGAGAATTGACTGGAAGAATGAGAGAAAGGTTTTGTTCGCGGCGATGTTTTGCGGTTTAAACGAAGAAGAGGTATAGTTCAATAAGTTTGAGGGTCATAACTATTTATGAACCCTAATTCCCTTTTTTTCATATTTATTTTTTAATTAATTTGTTTGTTTCTTTAATAATGAAGATAAAAAATAATCTGTATAAAAAAGGGAATTAGAACTGGGCCTTTCAATTGTATTGCTCACACCCTTGCATGATAAGCCCATTGTACAACTTTTTGGTACATTTGGGGTGCTGCCAACAAAAAGCTGCTTATTAGATTCAGCCTATGGGCCTTAGCGCCAACATCTTTCAGCAAACCATCAGATTCTGGCCTGTACTCCTTAGTTATTATTTGTAACAAAAAATGGGTTTATGGACTCTATCCTGATGGGTCTAGTGCCCAGAATACTTCATCACACTCTTGGGTTCAGTTTGCACCCCCTGGACTTGTTTTTTTTACCATTTGCAATTTCTTTTGAATGATTTTGGGTAATTGTTTAGATTTGCTTGAAATTTTTCTTTTACATGGTAAAAAAATAATAAAATAAAATATAAAAATTTGTTGGTTTGTTTTTATTTTAGGAATTAAATTCCAATTATCCGACTACTTGAGATTTGGGATTCACCTTTGCTTGTTGAGATTTGAGTTTTATGCAGGTTTATCGTGTGATATGCGGATATGCTTGAGATTTCGATTGTGATTTATTTTCACATTGATGATGCTTCGACACGTATCCTGAGCATTTGATTTTTGACTCTTTTCTTTGCTTCGTGAAGCTTACTCGAAGTTTTCCGGGTTTCTCTGCTTTGCTTTCCATGCTACGAACTTTTGTTCTTTTGGTATTTTCTCGTGTTTACCTCATTCAGCATTTACCGCTTTCTAGAGATCATGTATAGTAGGGGAATTTATCGCTTTCTAGAAATCATGTGAAGTCGGAAGCAGGAAATAAAGAGTGTATGCTCGAAGTATCTGTTTAAAGTCCTGTAGCAGGCACTGCTTTCTGTATGCTATTTGTGTTTGTTTAAAATCCTACCTTTTAAGTAGGTATTGTGCATGTGTGTTTACATTTGTGCCCGCCTTATATTACAGATGATAAGTCCTCAAAAGGAGGTAAGTGGGGAGGGTCTGTAATCGATCCCCGTACATTCTAGTCTGTGTCATCCTTAGCTCACGTTGTACATCGATGCTTCAGAGTCATGCAAGTCTTTTGTATCGAGTATGTCAAGTGGGGAGGATTTTGCAATCAAACCCCCACGCTTTGTTAGGAGTTCGCATTGGTCGATGTTGACACTCCGTGATCATTCATATTATCTTTTGTCGCCTACCTCGATCTTCTATATCTTGGTTAGGTGTTCAGTCGCTTTGGACATCACATTTTTTTATTTCATTTGTCTCCCGCTTGTTTGCTTTGGGTGATATGCTCCCCTTAGCTAAAGCATTTCTCTTGTTTCCCTCATCCCTTGAGTCAGTATGTGCTACTCATATTTGTATGCTTTTTCCAAAGCACTTGTTTGCTTATTTGTTTACTAAACCATGCTTCCCTTAGGATCTCTCGACTAGAGTAGTCTTCGAGATAGACGTTAGGATAGGTATCCATGCATGCTAACATAGGGTAGATATTTCCCTTTCATACTTAACCATAAAATCAATCATTGTATGATAACATTAGGGATAAATCTTGGTTAGTCTCCCTTAGATGTTTTTCTTTCTTTTGCATCTTTGCATTAAAACTAAAACTCTTTTTCTTGAAAAAGCATAAAACATCTAACAACTTTCAAATCCTTCTTTAAGGTAAAAAATACCAATCAATGCAAACTCTCTTGTGCCTTCGGGCTTTTCTTTCAAACTCTTTTCAAAAGAACATGTTAGTTCACTTCAGAAGAAGGCGAAATTAATATTGTTCATTAAAAAATACAAACCAACAAAAACTTTTGAGCCGAACTACAACTGCTCTGATTCCTTAAAAGGGATACGTAGGCATTGGGGTAGGGCCCGTACGAGCACAACTTTTATTTTACCTACATTTTTTTCTCTTTTTTATTTTGCATGCATTCCCTATACATTTTAGATATAGATTAAACACACCCATAAGATAGATAACAAGAGTGGATACCGTAGAGTATTACGGGCGTGTGGGGTGCTAATACATTCCCCTCGTGTAACAGATTCCCTTACCCATATCTCTTGGTCGTTTGACCTTGATTTCACCCTTCTCAGGTTTACTTGATGTTTACCTTTCCCTTCCTATGGGATAAAAAATGTTCGATGGCGACTTTATTCATTTCATTATCAGTTGATTGTTCAGCCGGTTGTTTCAGCAAGCTTTAATGAAATTTTTTAAGATTGATCATGTGCCACAAGAGATTTCTGCCGATAAATTTGGAAGTTATGTTGCTAGCTTAACGATTGACAATGGATTGGGTTTCTCCGATGTTGACCTTACTCCAGAGGGAAGAAATCATAATAGGGCCTTGTATGTCTCCATTAAATGCAGGGGAACTATGTTGGCTCATGTGTTAGTTGATACATGCTCTTCTCTGAATGTTCTGCTAAAGGGCTCTCTTGACAGATTGGATTGTGAAGGGGTTGTGGTGAAACCCAACGACATTATAGTTCGAGCTTTTGATGGGTCTAAAATAATGGTACATGGAGAAGTGGATCTTCTTATCAAGGTGGGTTCACAGATCTTTGAATCCATATTATATGTGATGGACATCCGACCAGCTTATACTTGTCTATTAGGACGCCCCTGGATCCATGGGGCAGGCATTGTTACTTCCACTTTGCACCAGAAATTAAAGTATCCTATAAAAGGGAAGGTTGCTATTGTCTGCGGAGAGGAGGAGTACATGGTCAGACATCTGAATTCATTCTGGTATGTGGATATGGATGGAGAATTTATCGAGACTCCATGTTAGACTTTTGATGTAATTTCCCATGCTGATGTTGAAGATGTTTTTGCCATTCCAAAGACTACCAGAGTTCTGCACAAGATGGCTTCCTTGAAAGATGCCAAAGCAACTATAGAAGAAGGTGGTTGTACTGTTTGGGGTCAGCTTCCTGACATCTCCTACAAATCTGATAAGTTGGGTTTTGGCTTTACTACAGAGGGTCAGAGGGTTTTTCCTCACGCTCGAGCTAGAAGACCTCCGGTCCGTATCAGCAAAACAAAATCAATTTTATAAAAGATGCTGACAGTGATTATGACCTCGACAACTGGATATTCCCTACCATTGGTGATGGACTCGGCAATTGGAAAGCAGAAGACATTTTCCCTATCTCCTTCAGTCAGGAATAATAGCTATTTCTGTTTTTTATTTGCTATAAGAAGTTTGGTTATGTAATTTCTTTTAAAACAATGACTTTAAACCTTGTGTCATACCCGAGGCACAATGGTTCATTTGTTAAGGGTTGTCATTTCATATGTCATATTTTCATTTAATAAAAACATTGGAAGTTTTGCATTCAAATTTTGTGTTCTCTGTCTGTGATCGGTGGATCTGGAACTGACTGTTTAACGCTGGTTCGCGAAATGTCGCGGAAGCAAGAGTCGCCACCGTCTTTTATTTTCTCCAATTGGAAAGGACAAAAGCACAGAAAAATTCCTTTAAAGAGATTGCTCTCGGTTCGGGAGGTAGGTTATAGAAAGGGAAGGTGTTAGCACCCTTTCTATCCATGGTTATCCATGGGCTCTTAGATACTTGCTCAATGTGTTTTCAAAATGTTTGCTTGCTTTTCAATTGTGGGTTTCAAAAAGATTCTTTGAAAAGTTTCAGTTCAACTCGTACGTCAGAGTGTTTGAAAAGTTTGTTTTGAAGGTTTTTTGAAAATGTGTTGGTGAAAAGATGTTTTGATTTGTTTGAAATTAGAGCAAGTATCCTTGAGAACCTACCTACCCTAAGGAATTCGTTTGTGTAAATGTCCTTTAAAGTAGTGCCATCCCACCATTGAGAGGTAGGTAGCACCACTGTTGGAGGTGTTCGGGTCAATTCGAGTTTGTAGGGACATGGTGATCACCGGAGTAATGGGAAGACACCTTAGAAGCTACCCTCATGCCAGGTTCCCGGATCATGAGGACTTACTAAGACGTCCTCTACTCGACGACCACCTTTCGAAAGGCAACAGTGAGGCGTACCCTAGGGGTGGTGTGTGCGAATTGTGTGTCATGTTTCAGTTTATTGTTTGTCTTGTCATGCATTGGTGATCTAACGATTCGATTTTATTTTTGGGCATTCATTCTTTCATGTTATTGCTTAACAGTTAAAAGTGCGGGAATTTAAAGTGCGGAAAAGATAAAAGTCCTACGCTATTACAAAGGGCGCGGGTCTACAACGCCAAATTAATCCAGACCCGATTTAAAATAAATTGCAGAAAAGAAATGTCTAATAGCTATTACATGGCTTTGGTACAAGTACATTATATTCACAAAAGAAATAAATGAAACGCGCGAAAAAGAAAATAATCAAATGCGAAGGCGTTGAACCCTTTAAAGGAATTAAAATAATTAAGTTATCTAAAATTAAAATTAAATGAAAAATGGTATTTTTGTGTTTTTTAGATTTAAAAGAAAAAAGAAAAATTAATTAAAATTAAATTAAAATGCTAAACCCTAGTTCTAATGTTTTTTTAAGTTTATTACGAAAATATTGACTTTTAACCTAATTTAACTCTAAATTAATTTATGTACAAATTTTTAATTTATGAAAATAAATAAATAATATTATTATTCTGAAAAAAAGGGGAAATTAAAAATAAAAAAAAAAAATAAAAAGTTATTAAACCTAAACTCTATTTTTTTGATTTTTA